CCTGCCTATTATACCTGTTCGCTGGTGTGCCCAACCTGCTCCTCAAGTGCTTGGAACACATCCTATACGTTTCTCATCCCACCTTCTTCGTCTTGAAGGCCTACTGACACAAAAAATTCGATATCAGCCAAACATAAAGTTGAATCTTTAGATTAACCTGTCATCATAGAGAAGTTCTGCAAGCACTATAACATTACCAACTCCTCGAGACCGAGCTCGCCGATACTACAACTGCTCAGTTTTCTCTAACTTTGCAACAGCATGGAGTCCGCACATCCTCAAAACATTGAAAACAGTACAGGCTCCGCAGAACCATCTTCTGGACATTCGAGCCCTGAAGCGTCAATGTCTGAAGATACGACGTCTATCAGTTCATCCAAGTTGTCGTCATACGAGAAGGCGATACGAGCCTTGAACGAAAGACTGGAATATACTCAACTACAACTCTCTCTGAAGGAGTTAGAATGCCAAGCTCTCCTCAAGGAGAACCATGAGCTAAAATTTACAAGGTCGGTGAAGTAACAACTATCGTGAAATTGATCTACTTTAATACAATACTTCTTTCGATAACCCGCAGGCGTCCATTTCCCACATTGTCTCACGAGACATTACAAACAATATTCACATACGCCACTGCATTCCCAGGTCTATCCCACTGGCATGGAAGATATACCGGTCACAAAGTGAATGGGAGGTCTCTTCAATCACCAGGAGGTCCATTCCACTTGTCTGTCGCCAATGGCACAAGAGCGGATTAGGGTTTCTGTATCAGCACATCGTGCTCGAGAGATTCTCCCAAATCACAAGGATACAGCAATTATTCAACTCTCTTGCTCCTAAGGAGCGAGTGAAACGTTTGAACTATATCCAAGGTCTCGAACTCCTTTTAGGACCAACACCCAGGCACCAGATTTTTTCCTATTGGCATGTGGCGAGCGAATTGATTATGAGGATACCCCCAGGGAATCTCAAAAGATTTGCGATAGACTCTTTCCATGACGAGTTTTTCGCCCTAAGCACCGATGCCCTGCATCGTATCCGCGAGGATGTGGAGATCCTACAGCTAGGTTACTCGAAGTATAGTCTTGACTTTGCCGAACTGCTCCTTTTTATTTCATCTCAAGGTGCCTCTCAAGGGCATCGAACTGTCGACTTTCCCAAGCTACGCACGATATTCTTCACTATGGAACCTTATGACCCATCTCAATTCCCGACTCCCAAAATGTTGACATTCCTTACCGGAAACATGCACCAAATCAAGTGCATGGCTATTTCATGGCCAGAGAAAGAGGATCTGGTCCCAGAATTTCGCGAATTACTCAAGCATGCACGAAACCTCACAGACCTCTATCTCATAGCCTCCACTAACTGGCTATACGACGAGTTCGAAGAACTGCTGGAGACACTCCCTATGTTGACCCACATCACTATATCATCATCTAGTAGAGCTAAACATCCTTTTGAAGAGCTTGAATCGGGGATAGTGCATAGTAAACTCGAGACCATTACTATTGTATCGGAGGCTTCAATTAACCTCTCCAATGTATTTTCCTGGGGGTTAATATTGGACAAGATTCGTCAAAACGAGTTACCAGCGCTGAAGGCCATCTATATCAAAGCACCGCATCTTTCCGGTTGTTTGGATTCACCTTGGATACTTCCTAACGAGTATCAAGACAAGTGGAGAACAGCCATCAAACTTTGTCGTCAAAAGGGTATCCAATTGCTCTCCCTTCAAGGTCACACGATCTATTTATGGGAAGAACGACATGGCATCAAATTCAAACAGGTTGTCCAGCGACCAGGCTCAGAACAAGATGCTCGCGTTTACAGTGACTCAGAAGATCATAGGGAGGAGAGCGGTGGCGATGAGTGTCTAACGGACACAAGCGATGACAGTCAATGGTACCGACTCGAAACGCAGAGCGACCCACCTTCTACGGATAGTGATAGTGGGATTGACGATGACTCTGATGACGGGCATTATCGCTACGTAGCTCAGCCGGACGTTGAACTATACAACGCGGAGTCGGACGGTTCCGAAGATGGTGTGCCAGCCTAAGTAGGAGATCGAACCTCAATCAACTCCGACTCCCCAGCCAGTCGATTTGAGATAGTTAGAATGGTATAAGAGAGATCTCTATGTGACAAGTTCTAGTTTGCGAGTGATCTATGCGGAGGATATGGGTCCCTTCTGGTCTTTGTACCCATTCACCTAAACCACTTGGTAGAGTACAGTAAATATAATCCATAAATATAAGTGTCTTCATTCAGATCTTCTTTATAGAGCTCCCCTTGTGGGGACCGAACTTCGATTCTTGGACCCGACCTGTTGGTTATTTCATATAAAGAGCTGTTATTTAGATTTGGACTGATACTAAAGTGTACCCTAGGTCACCTTCATTTGGTAAAACAGTTTCTTCATTGATGGAAGTTGCACACGGATCACCTTCTACGTCCGAAACCCCTAGCTGCCCAAGCTGTGGACGGTGGGAACAATCTTTTTACGAGAAGCAGATACGTAGACTAAGGGAAAGACTGGAGTATTCTCAGGTACTCCTTTCTGCCAAGGAGTCTGAATGCTATGCGCTACGCAAAGCTATATCAGAGTTGAATTTTCAGGTTCCTTCTAACAGGTCGGCGAGTTCCCTAGGAGGGGCAATACTACCCCTTTTCACGAGTGATTCTATCTAATCACATATGTTACACATTACAGAACTCCATATCAACCCTTGCC